CCCCTCCCTTAGAGTGACAAGCCTCCTGTGTGCCTCTCTATTTCTCCAGGTACGTGTTAGCATTTTTCAAGCCTGGCATGGTTGGGGTGCCTGGGGTTCAGACAATAGCACCTGCATCTGGCAGTGCATGCTGGGCTAGTAGTGTGTGCATAATGTAGATTTGTAATTTGTCCATTTGTACTGGGCAGCAGTCCTGCTGGCATGATCAGTGGTGTGTTTACTTTGGAGGATTCATTAGCTTTGCAATTTGTACAGTGTTATCACTGGTTGTCACACTGCTTGCATTAGGATTTAACATTAAAAAAGGTTTTCATATCAAATATGACGTTTTAAGACCCAGTTTTACATTTGAAAATAAACCTTTGGAAAACCAGATTGTAGCTAAGTGAGAAGGAAAATCTGTAAATTATTTCCAGATTCATCCTTTCTGATGATAATTTATTTTTCTGGTGTGGAATAAAAGGGATTTTGACCATAGACGGTCCTCGGAGAGAACACATGGTTAAGAAATATAAAATTAATATCTTTAGAAACGGCTTCTTTGATATTTGCAGGTTTTGTTTTTTTTAAATAGACAGCTTTCTCAATTTAACAGTGATATTCTTGATGTTTCCTGTCTGCCTCTGTAAAGGTATTTTAAAATGCTATCTTATTGTAACTCCATGTGGAGCACGGTGAAATCGGTTGGAGGCTGTTTTTGGCAATTGTTACTAAAAGATTTAGGGATAACGTTGCTAGGAGACCCTTACATCAGCTATTTATCCCAAAGTCATGTAGAAACCCACACACAAACACACTGACACGGATTCAGTGTGTGTGTGCGTGTATCGCCTCTTCCCACTGCGTCTGTGCGTTCTTGCTCATACTATAAAGCTGCAAGCACCTCGTTCACTCTGCTCGCTGCCGTCTCCGCGAAGCATGATTTCTATTCAACTCAGCTCTGCTTAGAGGATGCACAGCAGATGAGGGTTTTTTTTTTGTTCCCAGTTCTTTTTATTAAAAAACAAACCATTTTGTCAGACACAGTTTTGTCAGGGTTAGAGAGCAAATATCAACTCATTTACTAGCCTGTATTTATCTTTTAGTCAAGTTACTATCCTTTCCTCTAAAGGAAAATCCCTGGATGGAAGGTTAGGTGATGGATTGAATTGTGGACCTTACTACAAAGAAGTGGAACAGTGGGGACAAATCAGCTGAATACCAACTCAAAGAAAAGAAGAGGGAGTTGCAAGTACACTGGATTTGCTTCTGAGTATTTGATGACCGAGCTTGGAGAAGACATCTGTGTGCCTGTCAGCATAACCTCGGTTGTTAATAATTTCCCAGGGCTATTGAAATGGGCGCTTAGCTCTCGAGTCAGAAAAACAGCAAGCTTTAAAGCTCAACGGTGTTGGCAGTGGCAGTTTTCATCCAACAAGCTTCAAAGAAAAGAAGCCCTTTATCCACTCCTGCTCACCTCCTATTTTTTTATGACCTGTTGACATAATTTCTCTATCCTACTTTGAGTCCGACACTTGAGCAGCTTAAGAAGTCTTTTTCCATCTTGCCCGACCCCCTTTTCTCCTGAATTGCATCCCTCCACCTTTTATTTACCTTGCTACCCTTTCACTTTGATTAAACTGCTTGCTATTCACTTCAATTTTGCCTCATCTCATATCTGGTGTTTTTCCTACAATCTGCCACCCCATATACCTTTCACTGCTCAACTTTTCTCTCATGCAGTCTTCCTGCCAGACTTTTTCCCTCCTTATTATTTGCTTTTCTCTCATTTTCTTTGCCTGAGGGCAGAGAGGACCGCATACTGCACACTCTCTCTCTTCAAATTGGTTCTAGACCTCATACAACCTGCTCACTTACCCGCTCGCGTCCGTCAATTATTCCCCCTCTCCTGTCACGATGTACTCCTCCGAGGAGCTGTGGAACTCCACCGAGCAGGTCTGGATCAATGGATCCGGAACAAACTTCTCTCTAGGAAGACACGAGGATGAGGAGGAGGAGGAAGGAGACAAGCATCCTTTCTTCACGGATGCCTGGCTGGTCCCTCTGTTCTTCTCTCTCATCATGCTGGTCGGACTGGTGGGCAACTCTCTGGTCATTTATGTCATTTCAAAACACAGACAGATGAGGACAGCAACCAACTTCTACATAGGTAAGCTTCCATGTGCAAGTTTGTATTTATGATTCTTGGTAAATGGACAAAGACTAGAAGAAGATAATGATGCATAGGAGATGTGACTCATATGGACAGGAGGGAGATAAACATCAGCTATGTTATTAAACATCTCTTTCGTCTATCCTGTAAAATTTCATCA